TATGGGACACACATCAGAGGCTATGAGGGGTTCAGTGTCTTGCCCAGGGACATTTTGACATGTGACTGCTGGTGGATTTGAACCCTCAACTCTCGCATTGAAGGACGACTGCTCTAACCACTCAGCCACAGTCGCCCACAATAATAATAATCTTTAACAGTTGGTAGATTCAGGGCTAAGGCTGGGCGATATATTGTTACTTTAAAAATATCAAGATGATTTAAAATGCGATATAAAATGAGCCATCTTTGGTAAGCCAGGGTCAGAGCGCCAAGGTCCCCTCCTTTGGCCACTGCCCAAAGCATCATGCACCCAACTTTTATGGCCCTTCCTACAGGTGGAGGGTCCACAGAAAGGCAAACCCATGCTGCTCCTTCGGGCTGAGCTCGACCAGGCCCCGTGGGTAGAGACCCAGTCACCAGGCGCTCGCCAACGAGCCCCTCCCCCAGGCCTGGCTCCAGGGTGGGGCCTCGGTAACACACGTTCGGGCAAGGGACACTGAGTTCCTTGTTTTGTTTTGTCCATAAAAAAATCTTCTGAATCGCTTTTTGTCTGACCTGTCACCTAGGACCAATCTGCCTTGGGAGACCCTACCAGGGGCAATTGCTCCCGATAGTATAGCTCCTAGGATTATTCAGGCGCACAAACTGCTGAGGAGGGGAAAGCAGCACTTTACTGTTCAGTGAAGGTGGGGTGCTGTTGACCTCAACCAGTGATGTCGTCGGGAGGTAGAAGAAATACTTCTTGGACCTTCTCAATCCCACTGGCACGTCTTCCATGGAGGAAGCTGAGTCGGGGGACTTTGGGGTTTATACGTCCATAGCCGTGGCGGAGGTCGCCGAGGTAGTTAAAAAGCTCCGAGGCGGCAGGGCTCCAGGAGTGGATGAAATTCACCCTGATTTCTTTAAGGCTCTGGATGTTGTGGGGCTGTCTTGGCTGACACGCCTTTGTAATACTCTGTATGTTGTGGGACTGTCTTGGCTGACACGCCTTTGCAACATTGTGTGGACATCGGAGGCAGTGCCACTGGATTGGCAGACTGGGGTGGTGGTTCCCCTCTTCAAAAAAGGGGACTGGAGGGTGTGCTCCATTCATAGGGGCATCACTCTCCTTAGCCTCCCTGGTAAGGTCTATTCAGGGTTACTGGAGAAGCGAGTCCGATTGTTGGTCGAAACTCAGATCCAGGAGGAATGAAGTGGGTTCCGTCCTAGCCGTGGAACACTGGCTCAGCTCTTTACCCTCACTAGGGTCCTTGAGGGGTCATGGGAGTTAACCCATCCAGTCTACATGTGTTTTGTGGGCTTGGAGAAGGCATTCGACCGTGTTCCTCGGGGTACACTGTGGGGGTGCTCCGTGAGCATGGGATTGGAGGCCGTTGTTACGGGCTGTTCAGTCCCTATACAAGCGGTGCGAGAGTTTGGTTCGCATTTCCGGCAGTAAGTTGGATCCCAAGGTGGGAGTTGGACTCCGCCAGGGCTGCCTGTTGTCACAGATTCTGTTCATAACTTTTATGGACAGAATTTCTCTGTGCAGCCAGCTGGCGGAGGGTTTCCGGTTTGGTGGCCTCAGGATTCCATCTCCACTCTTTGCAGATGATGTGGTCCTGTTGGCGTCATCGTGCCGTGATCTTCAGCTCTCACTGGAGCGGTTCAAGGCCGGGTGTGATGCAGCTGGGATGAGAATCAGCACCTCCAAATCTGCGGCCAAACCGGAAAAGGGTGGATTGCTCTTTTCAGGTCGAGGGTGAGGTTCTGCCTCAAGGGGAGGAGTTCAAGTATCTTGGGATTTTGTCCCCCGAGTGAGGGACGAATGGAGTGTGAGGTTGACGGATTGGTGCAGCATCTGCAGTATTGCGGACTCTGTATCGGTCTGTTGTGGTGAAGAGAGAGCTGAGCTGTAAGACAAAGCTCTCTGTTTACCGGTCGGTCTATGTTCCTACCTTCACCTATGGTCATGAGCTCTGGGTAGTGACTGAAAGAATGAGATCGTGGATACAGGCAGATGAAATGAGTTTTCTCCGCAGGATAGCTGGACTCTTCCTTAGAGATAGGATGAGAAGTTCAGGTATCCGGGAGAGACTCAGAGTAGAACCGTTACTCCTTCACGTCGATAAGAGCCAGTTGAGGTGGTTCGGGCATCTGATAAGGATGCCCCCTGGGCACCTCCCATGGGAGGTGCTTCGGGCCTGTCCAACAGGGAGGAGACCCCGGGGAAGACCCAGGACATGCTGGAAAGGCTTTGTCTCTCGGTTGGTCTGGGAACGCCTTGGAATCCTCCCAGAAGAGCTGGAAGAGGTGGCTGTGGAAAGAGATGTCTTGGTCTCCCTGCTCAAGCTGCTGCCCCCGCGACCCGTCTTTGGAATAAGCAGAAGATAATGGATGGATGGATAGATAGATGGATGGATATAAAACGAGACTATATCAATATAAAATGATATAGTCTTATTGTAATTGTCACAGTTTATTTTATATTTCACAGTCATATGGCTTGTACTGTTTGTTTTATTATATGGTAAATGGACTGTACTTATATAGCGCCTTTCCATCTTATTTCAAGATACTCAAAGCGCTTTACACTACAATCTGTGCCCTCATTTACCCATTTATACAACACTCTACTAGATCTCTACAAAGCTAATTGAACAAAGCATTCTAAAAAGACTAATCAGTGCTTTCAGATCATATTCACACATCAGAGGCTATGAGGGGTTCAGTGTCTTGCGCCTACGTGAAAACCATCTTCTTCATTTCAATTTCTGCCAAGTGTTTCAATTTTGGCCAATCAGCGTCGCGTATTGCCCTGGCCGGCTCCGTCCAATCAGAAGCCTTGCCCGTCTCATTTCGAGAATCCCGGTTGAGGCGCCCAATCACAAGCCTCGCTCGTTCCAATTCGAGGAACCAATCACAAGCCCGGCTCATTCGGCATTGAAATTCGAAACTGGACACGGAAGCTGTATCGGTAAGAGGAGAAATCGTCAGCATGAACATGGTTTCACGGTAGTTTTTAAGCCCGTCGGCGGTGCTAACTTAGCTCGTTGGCTAGCTAGCTTAGCTTGCCCCGTCGGTCTGTCGTCCGGTCGGTTCGGTTTATAAATCGCTTTAAGGACCTAATATTTCTGCTTTTATTAAGCATTAGCTCAAGGATGAAGTGCAACGCCGTGTTGCGCTGTCTGGGAAACGGTGCCGTTAACGTGTGATGAGCTAATGTTGTACGCGTGTTTATATCGGGGCGACGCAATATAACGGGACGACGTGACTTTTACATGCTGCTTCAAAGGAGCAAAACAAAAGTTCCTGGGTTTAGACTGCTTTTTATTGCCCGAGTATTTTTTCCATTTAAAGTGTGAGGAGGGATGGAGAGACGAGGGTTTGCATAGTTGATCATAATTTATATTGATAAGTGGATATTGGTTAATGATATTATTGTTTAAGTGCTGTGCCTCACCCTCCTGTTATGTTTACTTTTTTTCATATATGTATTTTTTTTTTAGCTTCATCACTGACTGACTGAAATTGTCACAAGTTGCTTGAACATGGCTGTGAGTTGATCTTCATTATGACATTGACTGGAATGCTGTTATGATGGTTATATTGATGCTACCATTCCTGTTGTTCTCTCATGATGTTATTGTTATTGTAATACAATGCTTTTAGTCCCAACAACATCCTACTTTTAGAAGGGCGCCCAATGGAACCCTGATCCTGAGGGCCTCCAGTGAGACTCAGAGGCAGGGTTCCCAAGAGGGAACCTACAGAGCCAAATCCGCAGAGGAGGTGGAGGCGGACGCAAGGGCCCACGTCGTCAGAGAGTGGGGGATGCCTCCAACCCCATCCTCGTCCTCAGCAGGTCTGCCCTGCAGTTTGGAAAGTACCGGGGCAGAACCTTCCTGTGGGTGCTCAGCAACGACGTGGGCTACGCCATAAATCTTGTGGCCTCCCACCAGGAGGAGCGTGAGAGAACAGGGTCTCAGTCTCCCCTCATGGCTAACAAGGTAGCATTTTCTCTTTAATTCTGATGTGTTTCTATTCCGTTTTCAGTTGTTATACCTTGTTTACCTTCAGGATGTCCTCCTGCGCTACGCCTCGGCCTTCCCTGACTTTGTCGAGGCGGTCAGGTTTCACTGGGCGTTTAAGGAGGTGCATGCCAAGTCCCTTCTGCCGGGTCAGGAGGGACAGGCTCTTGTTGGCTTTGTGGACTTTAAATATGAGACCCTGGAGAGCCTCTACGACTCTGGGGAGGACAAGAAGATAAAGTATGACAGAGCTCTGGAAACTGTGTATGCTGAGTGTCTGCTGCAACGTCAAAAGTCAGCTGACATTATGTCTCATCCACGCAGGTTTGTCAACTACCTGCGGAGGACTTCACGGGCTCCCAGATGGAGAAAGCCGTGGGCTATGTTCGGCGCCAAGACACACAGAGGCCCGCCGGTGCCAGCGCCATGGCCACAGCCACCGGCATGACCACGGCTACTGGCACGGCATCAGGAGCAGCGTCTGTCTCAGCGCTGCACTCGAGGATGGCAAAACAGTTTGTATCATTTAAATTTTTTATGCACGTAATATATTATTGAATTACATATTACATTATTATTACATACTATACATACATATTAATAATAGTATTACATATTATTAGTCATTGTATAATTTCTAAATTTCAAAATTCACTGGGTCTTAAAGCTTAAAAAAAAAAGCTTCTTAAAGCTTTGCTTGAGTAGAACAACATGATTGCTGTCTTGCTTCAGGTTTGCATCCTCTGTGTCCACACGGCGTTCTCTGTCTGGGGTGGAGTTGCAGGCCACGCTGAAGAAAATCAGCTCAAGCTCCTCCACACGGCCTGCAATTCCAGGTGAGGTCAAATGCAGAAGTACTGCAGCTGTTTTCTCTTAGATGATGTAATTTTGTTTTTCATGTTTTGGTTTCCAGCCGGCAGCAGAACATCCAGACCAGCTCTCTCCTCACTGGCGCCCGTGGAGCCGGTGAATCCGAAGCTGGTCATCAGACCTACTGCTGCCATGGAGAAGTGTGAGTGACAACCACATCATTTCTCTTTGGTTGGACTGTTCACCAAAACGATAAAAAATAATAAAAATGTTTCCCATTGTATTTCAAAACTGTTCCAACAGCAAGATGAACCAGAGGTGAAACAGTAAGTCTGACTCCAGTAAATGCTTTGCATGTAACCCACTAATCACTAACTAGCCTCGTCACTTTGCCTGTAGATAAAAGCCGCCCACTCGTGCCATTGTCTTGTCTTGTAGTGACACACCCGGCTCCATCCATGATCTACCTCTTTGTAACCTTGAATCATGCTTGCTTATTCGTCTGCATCCACTTCTTCCACGTGTGTCTGGGTGTGTGTGTGTTCATTAGTGTGTGTGAGTGAGTGAGTGAGTGAGTGAGTGAGTGAGTGAGTGAGTGAGTGAGTGAGTGAGTGAGTGAGTGAGTGAGTGATTGATTGCAGAAAACACTGAAGTTTGTTACTGAAACATTTGTTTTCTCCTTCAGCCTCTGCCAGACAGCCACGTCCTGCTGCCACCTCCCTGCCACTAGAGCCCGCTGACGAGGAGCTGCTGGAGGCCATACAGGAGGACAGAGCCTCCCAGCAGCCCGATCGACCTCCAGAGCCCAACACAAGGGAGGACACCCCCTCTGGAGGAAACCCTCCGCCGACTCCTGATGATGCTGAGGTGAGCTAACGGACATTAAACCAGTTTACTGTCACAGGCTTTATGGGATGTTGAAGCTCTCGTCTTGTTTCTGCAGTTGCTGCCCGAGTCCTGGAGGGCCGCTCTCAGTGCTGAACATCAGGAGTGGATCGGCCGGACGCTGTTTGTGAGGGACCACATGGGGAGGTCTCGCCTCACCACTGACCTCGGCCTGTGGTGGTGCCCTCCCCGGCCCCCGCCGGTCTACAACCAGCCTCCTGCATCCCCCGGCCCCTTCTTCCCTTGTCGGCTGTTCCTGTGGATACCTCACAGGATGTGGCATCTGTAGCTGACTTGCCCGCAGCCTTTGTGCAGTGGGTCCATGAGAAAGGCTGGGCTCCACCGGACCATCCGGAGGGTCCTGGACATTGACGGCTGGTATCTCATGGCCACTGAGTACCTTGATTGATTGATTGATTGATTTTATTGTCAATTCTGCATATGTACAGGACATACATAGAAATTGAAATTGCGTTACACTCTTACTCAAGTTGCAGCAAACAACAACATTAGCAAAAATAAACTAACACAACTAGTTATATAAAAAATATAAAAGTAAAAGTGAACAGCAGCAGGACCTCTGATGCAACGTGCTCAATAGTGACTAACAGGAGACAAAGGGACGCTGACTGAAGACAATAAC